CGGTGTGGGCCTTACGTAAATGTATTATATCAGAACCTTAAGCACTTGCCCCCCCCTTCTATAGACTGATAAGTTTCCACGTCAGAGAAACACTTCACACATATCGGGCAATAAACTTCACTTGTTTCCTGAAGGAAATGTAATTAGTTGTCAGGGAGACGCATAACCGTGTCTCGCAGACAAGCATTAGAATTAGCAAGCAGCAACAATCCATAATCTGAGTTAACTGGCCTGAGGGTTTGAGACACTGATCAGACCATGAATTCACAATTTAGCTACAACATTGTTACCTGATCTCTATCCAGTAATTTCCTGTAAGCTCTCCAGTTTGCTTACTTTAATAATAGGCTGCTTCATCTGAAGTCAGACCAATTATATCAAGATTTATAATGGTTTACAAATATATATATATATATATGTTTTTTTTTTTTTTTGGGGGGGGGGGATTTCACATTTGTGACACATTTGCATAACTCTTTCTATTTCAAAAATATCAAAAATATCTTCTGCATTTATATAGAACCGTGACTCAAATTTACAAGCAGAAGCTGTGAATTACAAGCAAACACCGAAGGTCACGTCACCCTGTCCATTTTCAGGCCACAAAATTGTGAATAAACAAAGAGTAAAACTGATCATTGGTTTAATTTTATTTTTACCATCAGAGCCTGAGGCAAGTTTGGACAAATATTTGAGGAGTCACGCTCTTCTCCTCATGCAGAAAAGTTATTCTTCTTTTTTATGATTAAGGCAACAGAAGGATTCGTCTCAGCTTTGAGAAGGGGGAAATTGTGAACACTTGACTTTCATATTCAGACTAAATTTGAAGTTAAATTCATCTAAACTGTTTCCTTGTTATCCTATCTGCAATTCGCTCATGTCTGCACATTTTTCATCCGTCTTTAGTAGAGTCGTATTTACCGATAAGGGTTTGTTGATGTCTCACCAAAGAAGATTTATATCTGAATGTCTGATGCTGTAATCGTCGGAGCGACTGCCAATGCTAACTAAGACAGTTTGCAGCCTTCTAGCACCCCTGCCTCCTCCCCATGTGCTTCGCTCCTCTTCCTCCCCTGCTGTGCGCGTGGGGGTGTGCACACGGGCCTGGCAGACAGCAGTAAGCTGGAATTCTTTGCACATCTGAGGTTTATCACTACAATCAAGCAGTAGATATCTACACTAATCTCTAAGCCTCCTCCGTTGTTTCCAGTCCACTTAATATTGTCGTATCAGTCAGAAACTTGTTGTAAACGTACAATGAAAGCGTCATTGTACGTCTTGTTCTTACAAAATGCCTCGTTTCTACTGTAGGACTCACTTTCCTGCAAATCAGAAGTACAACGCTATCTGAAGGGCAGATTTTGCCTCATATTTTATCCATCTGTTGCTGTTGATTTTCGCTCATATTTCTTGTTTAAGTGCCTAGTTGTTTATACAGATGTAGTACAAGTGCTGATGGGAACTTTCTCAGTTTAAGGAAATGAATGCACTCCGATTTTAGACAACATCTATTTGGTATTGTATTGATTATTGTAATTCACTTAACAAAGCCGACTATGAATGTCTTCTTCAGAGTGCTTCTCCAAGGTCTCTGACTAAGTCTGCTGAGTTTCCAGTCACACAATGGTTATTGCAGTTGCACTGCGTTCACATTCACTCCAAAGACAATTTTCAAGATCTTGACTTTGATGACAGAGACTTACATGAACAAGCTACAGAACGTAGCTGCACTTAAAGTGTTTCAACGCCCACTGAGAGGGGGATTCATTGGAAAAGTTCAAATTTGTTCAAGTATTAGCAATGAGCAACCCACATAAGAACTGTTTTTGAAGTTGAATTAAACTAACATTAAAAGGGTTGTATTCAAATACAATGCTCTCTGAAATCAGGTTTGGTCTCAGACACACATAATTCGACCAAAAATGTCATTTTTCCCCCCGAGAGTAGCTTCACAAGTTTAAAATCAAAGAAATCGAGACTAAAGAAGTTCAGAAAGAGGAAGTTGTCAGAGGCCGCCAACAGATTTTCGAGGAGGCTGGTGGTCAAAAACCTCTGACTGACTGCAAAAGAGCAGACTCGGTGGCAGCAGCCACTGAGGTTTCACTTTCCACAGAGAGGCATAAAATAAAAATACCGGAGGGCTCCATGCCTGAACGCCGCAAGCAAAACAAGAGAAGTCAGCTCCAATGTAATCTATAAACGAGGAGAAGGAAAACATTTCAGGCCTATGAAAAAGGGGCATGTCTGGAGGTACAAGGATGAAGCAGACACTGAAAACCTGCAGGATCTGGACGACAAACTGGATTTAATCAGGACAGTGGTCCCAAATATACCTCACAGTCCACCAAAGCTTGGCATCAGAAGATGCCGGAGTAGCCATCAATGTTGCCTGATTTGAATTGTTAAAAAAAAGACAAAAAGAAAAACTCTGAGATTTAGAAAAAGTCACCGGCAGCACCCAAAAACTCAAGCCTATGACTACTGATGAAGTGGAGACCTTTCCCCGTTCCTCAGTAGTTGTGTCTGAACCGTCAGTTCAGAGTTTGTTGCATGTCGTAACAGGAAAAGTTTGCTCTGCTGAGTGGGGTTATTTAAAAGTAACCTTTTGTGTTGAATTAGCAGAAACAACTTGGAATGTTAGCTGTGTCGTGCTATTTAAATTGCTATAACTCAATTTGTCGATAATTTGTTGCGCACACAACCACATTTGCAGTGGGAGTTAATCATTTTACCCGCAACTCCACATTAAAGAGCTTTCTTATCCCTTGACCTGGTGGTCTGTTTTTAAAAAAAAAAAAAAAAAAGCAGATAACAAAACAATTCTAGACATCTATCTTCAGAATCTGTTTGTGAAATAAGGCGTTCAGGTTTTGCCATCGCTCAAGTCCCCATTTGCGGGTTCGAAAGCCCCGAATCTGAGCGAGTCAGTGAACAGTGTGAGGATTAAGCACTTTGTTGTATCTTAAGCCCAATCAGGGAACACGGCAGCAGATCAATATGCTACAGCAAGCTTTGATTTCTACGGCTGAAAAAGCGACCTCACTGGAACTGAGTCTGATAAATACAGCAGGATCACAGCCTGAGATTCATTCTGATCACATTTGAAATCATGAAAACGTTGTCTTTTATTATTATTATTATTATTATTATTATTATTATTATTATTATTATTATCATTATTATTATCATTATTATCATTATTATTATTTATAACTACATAAATATTGAACAACTATTCAATATTTAGTTCTTTTTTTAATGAAATTTTGATATATTGATGTCCAGTCTTACTTTGCATTTGTCTCTGGAAAGGGATAAACATCAACAAAAACAGCTTTTCTAGCTGAGAAAAAGCTCAGACACAATACTATTGAAAATGTCTTACTGTTTGTCATGTTTTTTTGGGTTTTTTTTTTTTGCAGAGCAAGAGGGTTTCCTCCTCTCACTCTTCCATACAAGGTATAATATTTTCCTGATTACATAAGTCTGCAACTTTACATCAACAACAGCAAAAACGTTACCTATTCCTCAGCAGAAATGTATTCCTCCCCCCGCCCCCGCCCACACATTTGACAAAGAAAATTTAAATGGCCTCTTCTTTAGGTTTAATAGTTTGATTAAATTCATATAAATGTTCATCATTGTTAAATTTGACAGTAAACTAACCATGTGTTCAAAGAATTTACAAATGTGATTCAAGCAACAAGTGTTCTCTCTTCACACACAGCAACCTGAAAAAAATAAGGTAAATCTATTGATTTTTGGGGGGGAGGAGGAGGAGGGACGACTCCTCAGTTTAATCTGTTTTTTATTCGTTTTCTTTTATTTTTAATTGTTTGGCATGCCACGCCAAAAATGATCAGTGACCCTGATCCCAGCTGGCCTTTTGAAATCGACCCTGGAGAGGACGGGGTGAAACTCTTCGTACTGGCTCAGAACCGTTCTATAATCTGAGCTACAAATGTTGCTTTGATGTGGAAAGATACGTTTAAGTTGGAGGTCGTGGTTATTTCAGGGTTTTACTCTGTAACAACAGCAACAGGAATCGACCTATTATGGTGTTATGACTGCAGAAACAATACAAAGCTCTCAAACTAGCTGCAGTTCAAGCCTCGAGCGGAAGAAGATGTAAGACTCAGGATTGCAAAGTTTAGATATCTTTGGTCAGAGGTCATGTTGAACGAGTAATTAAAAGACGAAGAAGATGAATGAAGATGTTTTAAGGACACGGCAGAATGGGTTTAGACTGATAGAAATTCTATTCAGCTATTCTATCTGAATTTGACACACTTTCAAACCTCTTTTCATAACACGCACACATCTTCCTCCTATATCAAGACCAGTCCGCTCCCGTTTCATGTGGTTTGTCCTTGGGCAAAATCTGAACACTTGTGCAGGTGACGGTATATAAAACTTCACACTGAAGAAAAACAAAAAAGTGAATAGGTTGAATTTTTCTCCCTCACTTCTCCTCCCCTCCCTTTTGTGAAGTCCTGTGTTGGTGTGCTTCTATCTGTGTGTCTTTGTCTCCCATGACGTCTGCCCAGTGACTCAGAGCCTTATAATGAAGTTTCCACTCAGGGACACACGCACAACTTCCAAAAATAAGGAGAAAAAAAAAAGAATGAAAACGATTGAATTGGTCAGGTTGACTTAACAAGCACCCTTTATTGTGTTCACACATGAGCAATTAGGTTAAGCCTTCTAGGGATTCTGACCCAGACCTTTCAGTGTTCACTGCTATAGAGCTCCTGTTTGAACAGTCATGTGTTAAAGAGGAACTTCAATAAAAGAAATTACCGGTAAGAACAAAAACATCCCAATAAAACATTTATTCAGGATATTTGAGGCTTTCTAGAAGTGCATTAAGATATTAAAATAAAAAAAAAATATAAAGAGCACAGTGAGGTTAGATAAGTTGTTCAGTCATGCTTGATTTCTTCTATTTTTTTTATTATTCTGGGATGAAGAGAGCTCGCAGTATTGATCAGGAGCCGTGTGGGTGGCCGTGAACAAAAGCGCACACACTCCTCCCGGTTTGGAGCAGAGAAATTGATGCCGCACCTCAGTCACACCCAGAGGCCTTGAGACTCAACACTCTTTAATTCTTGCAGCTACAAAAAAAGGAGCTTTCTTCGTCAAAAGAGGCAACAGCGAGTCTTTCTCCTACTGAGCACTTTATTACTGGGAACGGAGAAAGCTGGAGCAGGAGAGTGACTGACTGCGACTGGAAGTCTGCGAGAGCTGAGGAGCAAAGACAGAGGAGGGGAAGCAAGAAGGGAGGACAAGAATTTTGAAAAAGGTAAAAAAAATAAATTAAATTAAATGTTATTTTAATGGCACTGATGTATGAATGGGTTAAATGTAATGACAAGCAAGGGTAGTAATTTGAAGTGCATTTGGGCAGATGTATGAAAAAGTTTAAGGTCTGATTTTGATTGTTTTCTAATGTTTTAAATCGTTTTAATTTTATTGCGGCTTTGTGGGCTCCTCTTATCAAAGTGCATATAAGTGCAGATCTCAGCTGAGTGAGTCACGCTGTAGGAAGATATGAGTCTCCGCCAGAGCTACAAAAACAAAAGCCCACCAAGGAGTCACAATAACAGAGCAGGGAGGCGAAAAAGCACCAGGAGTCAGTTTCTCAACAACGACAAGATTATTATCTCACACACTTGGTACCTGTTTTAATCACCCAGGAAACTGGAGAAAACAAAAGTACAAAAAAAAAAAAAAAGTTCTGATTGAACTTTAAATGTTTAAAAACTTGATCATGAGAACAATTGTTTGAAAATTGTCATTTTTGAACTAAAATCTGTAAAGAAAATATCCAAAGAATAAAGTGAGGAAAGAAAAATTTACCTGCGAAGGATTTTAGACATTGAAAAGTTCTTGAAAATCAATTTCTTCTACATGTCATCTTTCTTAAGCGGCAAATGTTTGTATTAGCACTAACACATTTTGTTTAGATCACAGCAATGTAGTCATCATCACTATCTCTTTATTGCGTGGTTTTAGGCAGCTGTAAACAACAACAGCTTCTTCATGATTGTTTCATTGCTTCAAATTTGTCTTTAAAAGGAGATTACGGAGAAAAGCAAGAACATTTTCAGAAACAAAAGAAAAGAAGGCTATAAAAAATTTCCTCAACATTGTAAAATAATTGTGCATTGTCTGTCCAGAATGCACCGGTTTAAAGGTTGGTACAGGGGCTCAGAAATAGTCAACAATAATATTGACATATTTATTGAACCACAAGTTTTGTGAATTTATTTCTACCGTACAGTTTTTGTTTTTACCACGAAACCTAATAAAAACACAAAAGATTTATTTAATTTGCTATTTTTTTTTTTTTTTACAGCTGCATTAGGATTTTCTTTTCTACAGTCTCATAGACAATGTGTAAAATAATAGCAAAAGCAGTAAAGTATTTCGATCCAGTAGCTTTTTTTGAGGGGATTCCTAACTTTGCTAAAGAAGTAAGGGTCTAAAATGTACCTGAATTTTTAAATGGAACAACGCAGCTTGACAAAGAAAAGCTGTAACTGCTGCTGGCTTGGTCGGTCATCATTACTGTTACTAAGGCAAGCAGTCCTGCTGACGGAGCCAACGTTGCACGAGTTTGTAAATAATGACAATTGAATGCAAAGTTGGCTCTTTTAATGGACTTTCAATGCAACTTTTAAAGCAACTTTGCATTAAAAGTGTCATTATTTACCAAATGACACTTCATGACAACAGTCATAGACATTCATAAAGACTTCTTTATGTTCATGACCGGTGTTATATCATGTTTATGACAGTGTCATGTCAGCCTTACGCACACCCCGTCAAATAAAGTGTTACCGGATTTTTATAAGTATAGCTGACTTACTTTTAAAGTGACAGTGACAGGCCAGACGTCAGTGCTCAACCTTGGAGTGGCCGAGACAAAGACGGGCTTTGTTTGTGCTTAAAATGAATCAGTTTCATTTGAAAGCTTTGAAATAAGCAATCAGAAAAGAGAGCTCAGATGTTTCGTGTCCTTTCGCTTCTCTTCTGCAACATCAGAAAAACAATCGAGTAAGAAAACGTCACAAATAGACAGGAAGAAAATCTACAGCTCCATAAGCTTTTCAAAAGTCTTCAAAAGTTTGTCTTTGGTCTTAGGTCACTCTTTCTAATAATTTCAATCAATTCTATGTACATAACTCTGAGGCCCTATTGTGATGTCCTCTCAAAAGAACCTCATAGATATGGTTTAGTGTGTCTTGGTCATCAGCTTCAACCCTGGTTAGAAAACCAGAGTAAAGCCATAATTTAGATTTTAAAATGATTAAGTAATTGTTTAAAAGTGAAAAAGACTATTCACATCAACCATGTGTAGAAAAAGTGAGTGGCCGCCTTGTCAGCAACAAATTTCATCAGCCATCTTTGATAACTTTTAATTGACGTCAATGTGGAGGAATTTTGTCTCTTGTCTTAGATCTGCCACATTGGAGGGTTTTAAAGCATGAGCCGCCTGTTTAACGTCATGCCACAGCATTCAAGCCTGGACTTTGATTAGACCAGTCTAAAAATATTATTTTTGTTTTCTTAAGCATGTGCTGTTCAGAGGTAGACCTTGCCGGTTTGCTTTGGATCATATATCACAAACTGATGGCTGCACATCCTCCTTCCACGTTTTCAGATAGAGAGAACATTGCAAAGTTCTACCAATAATGCTTTTATCTCATCAGTAAACGGAACATTTTCCCAGAAGTCTCTGGGTCCATCAGTAGTTCTTCTGGGTTGTGTTTTGATTTCCCAGATGGGTCACTGATGCACCTCTGCGTCATTTTTGTCAGGCCTTTGAATATCTGTCGATCAGAAAACGATGCGCTGCTTTTTCAGATATTCCATTTTGTCAGACAGGCTCTGTTCAGGTCATGTTTGTTTTTTATCCTACAAGTTTGTCAGTCAAGTAGATTGTGAAATCAAACCATAAATAATAGTTAATCACAGTTAAAAAAATAAATATATATATACATTTTTCACTTGATACATTACATCTTCCCTTGCATTAACATTTGAAAACTGCATGTTGCATTTACTCAGGTTCTCTCATAATAAATTATTTGACAATGTGAAACATTTAAAAGTGACTGCATTTCCCCTTTGGTAGATCTTTTCAAATCCGTTACGTTTCTGCTTTCACTAACCAGTTTTAGATAAGACGCATGTGATGAACACAACCATCTGCTACAATGCGTGCTCCAGCAGGAACAATCACCGCTGGTATTTGAGCTCAGCTATTATTCAACCATGACACACAGCTATACAGATCATCTCATCTCAAAGACAGCATTGAGGCAAATTGAGTTATATAAGGCAGGAATGTGTTACACAAGAATAAAGATCAAGACTCTGTTTCTTCTAATGACCGGCAAAATTCTTCTCCCCTGTGATCAAGTGAAGATTTACCTCTGCTGGGTCAGAAACATTTCCAGTGCTCTTAAAAACCTTGTGCTTCTTTTTTTATTTATTTTCCAGCTCTGAGTTGGAGAGGAAGATGGTGGGTCAGTGCTGGTTGTTTATGGTTCTGATGGGATTTATGTGCAGCCCTGGGTCTGGCTCGGTGTGCTTGGAGAGCTCCCGGTGCAACGACTTGAGCGACAAGGACATAATACAGGTGAGCCAAATTATTTTTAAGCACTATTTGCTGTGCCTGGTCACTTATTTCCTCTCATTTTCTGCCATAATGACAAAATAATGACACATAATAATGTCATCATTTGGAACAATGATAGAAAATAAGGATCCGCATCTTTTTTGGTTCATCTTTTTAAAGATTTTCTAAAAGAACATGAAGTCCTTCTGAATATTCTTGACATAATCTTAACTTAGGTACCTTTTCTACCATTACAAACTTAAATTACACAAGAAGATTATTTAATAAAAAAAATGACAGAGTTGATTATCCAATTGTTTCTTGTTTTATATATATATATATATATACATAGTGAATAAAATTTGTCTAACTTTGGTAAAGAAAGTAGATTTAAATCTAAGCAGCTATGGAAGTTATTTCTCAACAAGGGAAATGCTACAAGATTTAATAATTTATCTTTGATTCAATGTTAATTTTGCTATTTAAAAAAAGTCCAAGAGATGAATCATTAAAATAATGTTCATCTATTGTTCTAGTGCTTGAATTTTTCTTATTAGTCAAAAAAGAAGATATGGGGATCATTTAGAAATCTTTTTGCTAAATTTTTAGCTGACCCTCTAAATAAAAACGTTTCATGGTTTCGTTCAAGAAGAAGGAAACAGTTTCCCACTGGTCATAAATCAGCCACTTATAAACTGGTGGCAAAACACACAGAGCAGCACTTAAAAGTGTGCACACTCCAGTAAAGATGGCAGGGGTTTTTTTGTCAAATAAAAATATGAGGCCATGATAAATAATTCACAGGCTTTTTGCACAAATGGTGGGACGTTTATCTCAAATGAACAGACAAAATAATCTGTCATGTAAAAAAAAAAAAAAAGAGGAAAAAACCTAAGATATAAAAGTTGGTCGGAAAAGCGTGCGTACTTTTCTGAAGCTCCTTCTGATTCATGGCCTCCTTCATTTCACATCTGCCATTAGCTCCACTGATTACACTTAACCAGAAGTAGAGCTCATCTGTCCTAGAAGCATTTCCCTCACTTTCTCACATTTGCAACTTTAAGCCAGTCACAGGTGTCAGAGAGGTCGCAAAGGATCAGAAGTGCCCCATTGCATTGTTCAAAAGTAAAATAAATAAATAAATATTGGAAACCGTCGTCCAATTTTAATCCCATCCTCTTGCCTGACTTTGAAATAAAAGGCTCTTCATGTCAAGGAGATTGGTCCACTCAAGGCACTTACAGCCACGAAAAAGTTTAATAATTTTTATTGTTTTCTTCTCTTTCCCAAATTTGCTCACTGCATTTACAACATAATCATGTGCCCATTGCTGACAGCGGCACTGTAGGAGCTGCAGCACTTTCCAACAAGGACGTGTTGTTTTCTACATGTGACAAGTATCTCGTGTAGTTTCCACATATTTGGAGAAAGGAGAAGGGCTGAGAGGTTTGCTTTCTCTCCAAACAAAGCACTTTAAAAAGTTAAAAAATGAATTTAATTTTTCAACATAACAGCGAGTCGAAGCGTACCTCCAGGTCCATATGAGGGTAACTCTAAAAGACAAAAAAAAAAAAAGATATGTGTTTTAGAATAGCCAGAACTTGTATAGGTTTAAAAGAGCGCAATGAGGTTATTGCATTTTAAGGATGTATGATTCGATGAAGCTCAATCTTCTTTTGCAAAATTTTTAGCCGACACTCTAAAAACGTTTCGTGGCTTTGTTGAACTGTTCAAGTGTTTGCGCTTAAAACAGAACAGATAATAGTATTTTTATATGTTGCTGCTGTCTGTGTGGTTTCCCCCCCCACACCCAAAGGACTGCCTTCACCTCTGCACCCCCGCAACCGAGCCTGAAATCAAACCACCCGGGGTCGCAGGTCAGCAGGAGAGTGACGACTTTGGTGATCCTGAGAGGAGCCATAGGGGTGACCTGCTGTTCAGCATCATTCTCTCCACTCTGGCTTCTGGAGGCAAAGTACCAGAGGGAGATCTGAAAGCCCACGATGACCAGCGCCGCTCTTACGCAATGGAGCATTTCCGTTGGGGGAAGCCCTTCGGCCGAAAGCGCAGGCCTGTTAAAGTGTTCCCCTCCGCTCTGGATGAGGAGGCCTTCGCCCTGCGGGCGCGCAGGCACTTGAGCTGGAACAAAGCTGAATCAAAGGGAGGCGTCGTTAAAGGGAGGCATCGGAATAAGGATCTGCTCGGGCCCAGAGCCGGGTTCAGGTCTCGGGCCACGCCGGAGAGAAAAGCCGAGACCTACAGGATGAGTCACTTCAGATGGGGCAGCCCGCCTGCATCCAAACAAAACAATCGCTTCGGGAAGCTGTGGGAGGAGAAACCTCGGGAAAAGCTGTCCAAGTTATTCAAGAACATTTTAGTGAAGGATGTGAAAATGATAATGGGCTAAAAAAAAAAAAAAAAAAAAAAAAAAAAAAAAAAAAAAGGAAGACAAAAAAGGGAAAAGGTACTAAAATAAGAGCAGAGAGGTTAATTTAAAATGACTCTTGGCTAGTTTCCATTTGTCTTAATGTAAATTCCAGAAATTAGTTGCTATCTTTAGAATGTCATTTTTGGGGCCTGATATTTCATTAAAGGCCTATATGAAGACAAAAAAAAAATAAAATAAAAAAAACACAACCTGGTTTAATTTCTTGGAAATGACTTGAGAGCTTCAAAGTAATAACTCTTACTGGAAACTCAGCTAATGATTTACATGTTATCTGTACAAATATTTCTTCGTGGATGGTACGTACGTGTTGAAGTAATTTAGTGGCAGACTGGTTTCTTTTTGTAATTTATTCTGAAAATAAATATTCAGTTTTTGCAATTGACAATTCAGACTGATTTCATCTCAAAGGTAACACATTTTTATGATGAGTAACGACTTCTGCTAACAGCACATTTTGTCCTGAAAGTCAAAACAAAAAAAAAGACAACAAATACTCTTTATGTTGGTATTTCATATCTGAAAAGCTTTCAACATGATCAGTCTAGTTTTGCCTACATGTCCCTCCAGCTGCATAATAAAAAAAAAACAGGAAACTCACCCCGATGAAGCAAAAGTAAGACTGAAAATTAGGGATTTCAGGGCTAACTTAATTCAACACAGATCATCAGCTGTGGTAAAAAGGCTGCAGTCAGAAATGAAAGCTTTCTGCACTGAATTAGAGGATCAGATGACCTGCTGCTTGGGTGGAAACATGTAATACAAGTAATAATGAGACAGAGCAGTAAAGCTAAAACAGATGAGAGCAACCCAATGAAAAATTCGCCATTAAATTTGCCTTCTTGCAAAAGCATCCAAACTGCTTTGATCATTTTCCCCTATTCTTTCATGTCACGACCACAAACTTTTCATTATTTTATGTGATAAACTGATGCAAAGCAGCATGTAATTGTGAAGTTTGTGGTTGTAATGTGGCTTCACTGTCACTCCTACGAACTCAAATCAGAGACAAGTCAGGCCATTCATGGTTTGAGATACATTTATTGTATAACACGGCTACGATTCGACTAGCATGCAAAGTCCGGTATGACACATGTAAGGCATTTTCTCCATGTAAAAGCTGCCTTTGTCACCAGGTAATCCAGTTTTTAAAGTGCAAAGTCCACAGAATGACTCAATTTATACTACAGCACTACATTGGAAATGGATCTATTGACCAGACATGTCATGAAGAAAAACTAAGTCAGGATTGCCGTAAGCTAGTATCACATTACACAATGCAATGACGACAAGCAGACAGATTTACAGATCTGATTCTGAAAAGACGGCATTACGACGCGCCACCGTGTGCTGCTGCGGCATCAACGGGTCGTTCTTCATGAACCAGGAGGAGTCAGTCACTGGACAAGACTGTAAACTGTGTCTGAAGGGTTTGGTCTCCGGTAACAACGATAAAGACACATCTGTGTTTACACAGACACATGAACAAACACTCCCACTCACACTATAAAAAAAAAAAGAAAAAACAGAAAAAAAGGGCAACAATTTGGTAAACTGATGGACACAATTGACTCTACATATTTAAAGAAAACAAACAAAAAAAAAAATCTCCGCATCTACATTACATGACACAGATGCAACTCAGTCAAAGAAGCGCAAGAGAGAGAGTGCATTCCTTTAAAACATCACACACCGAGCCATCACAGCACCACGACGACAAGAGGCACGCTTCAACGACGCACAAAGGAATCTGCTACCAACAGTTGGACCGCGTTTGCCAGGCTTGTGCCAAATTATTGCCATTATACCTTGTTTTTTTTTTGTTTTGTTTTGTTTTGTTTTTTTTGTACCTGTGTGTGTTTACATGTGCTCCTGCGCAATAAATGGCTTGTTAAAATCTCGACGAGACAGATGCACTGCTGGGAAGCCAATCCTGCAGAACCGAGGATGCAGTGGCGGGTCAAGGTGAAGCTGCTGGAACCAGTTTCTGTTTCGGAAGTGGACTGCTCATTTGGATTTTATGTGTTGCTGGTTGCTTTAGATTTTTTATTTATTTTTTCCCTTAACTTCTTGGAGACAACCAGTGCAGCGACAGTTAAAAACAGAAACATACACACAGAAAACATCCCTGCTCTGTACATTGGCTTATAGACTTATATAGTTCTCTCTCTCTATATATATATATACACACATTTATATGGGACGAAAAAAATAATTATTTTTATAGTATTTTCCAATGTTGTAAACATTGCATTTCAGGAGTTTGTGTGGTCACGTGTGGCACACGTTTCGTTTTAGCGGTCCGTTTCTCAGTTAAAAACTATTCAAATCAAAATAAATACGAGTAAAAAAATAAGGAATTAAATGCCCATCACAAAATGAAAAAGCACTTTTGGCCAACACTAAGAAGGCAAAGAAAACCTACAGCGTAACAAGAGTTATTCATGGATAAAAAATAAAAAAAAAGTCAAATGCACTCTCTAGTATTTAGATCTAAATAAATAAACAGAAAATTATAGCAAAATGAGACTGGTTAATCTAATTTTGTTAGGTATAGCACCCCGTCTGGGACAAACAAAAAACAGAAGGAACATCCAGAGATTGCAGTGCCGATAACATTCCCAGATCCAGGAGACGCACACAAAGCTTCTCTGTCACAGTTCTTGGCAATCTCTAAATTTGATAATCCAACCAGTGGAGTTTCTACAAATAAAAGTAAATCAAGAGAGTTGTTGTTGTGTTTTAATTACTTTTGCCAGCTTGTTCTGGTTGCAATCAAACAACTAAGTTAACCATAAAATGTTTTGCTCTAAAGTTTCATCTAACGTCCGATTCCACCATCGAGATCAGTTTACAGTAAAGATCGGTTGCTCATCCCTGAACCTAAAAAAAAAAAGGTTAATCAAGTTCCGTCGTGTCACTGCGAAACTTTGTGCTCTAATACACACAAAGGTCGGGAAACTTCATCTCATAAATGGGAACAGATCGACTCTGGCTTTGGCCGTAACCCGAGGAAATGGTTCCAGATGGGCTGGGAGGGGGTCTGGAGAGGAGAGGAGGCAAATTAGTCAACCTTCAGTCAGCTTTCTCAATATGTGTGCAGCAGGGATCCAAATTACACGTGCTCAGATTTCAAGGGTTGCATGTTCTGGATAGCACATTTTTAAAGTATGAGTACAAAAGTTCACTATGAATTCATGGTTGAATAGAAAGAAATGAAACTATGGGAAAAGCCCTTTCTTTTGCTTTCTCCATTATCATCCAGACCAGAAAAATACTTCGACAAATTTTAGACTTTTCCAAAAGTATTTGAACCCTGGTGCTGTAAAGTTACAGCCAGTTAAAATATTTGCTGCTGAATGCAGGTGAAAACTCATCTTTACCTGATTGTGATCTCAAATATCTGATTCAGTTTGTTCTGCAGCATCGTGGCCTAAAAGAGGCAAATTAACAATTACAATCATTACATGGTTTATCAAAAAAAAAAAAAACTGAAGAATAAATCAATGTAAAGATGATTCTCTTTGTACCCTGGCACCACAATGGGCAGCGATTTCCTCAAATGGTGCCTTCTGAAACTTCTCCACCACTTGTCTCCGCCGCTCCCTCTCCTGCTCCTCCATACCAGCACTGTCCACTAGAGGGAGACAGAAACAGAATAATCAATTTCAAGCACTTCTGCTGAAATGTTAGTTGACTAAATAATTACTGAGAAAAATCTTTTCCTAAAAAATATACATATATATCGAAGTGACCTTTTTTTTTCCTCTCCTAATTTTAGCTCACAAGACCTCAAATTCAATGTTTATTGAATTAAATAATTTGATAAATTCAGTTCTTGGGAACAAGCACAAATACACTTATGGGTGAATAGTATTTGCAACTAAGAGCCAATGAAACAGTAGACATACCAATGGCACTTTTCAGGGTTTCAAATGTGATTTCTTCTGCCGGAGTCCTCTGAGAAACACAAGCATCGAATGAATGTCTCTGTGTCAAAGAAATGCCTTCGACCTTTATAGATCATTGGGGTTTCTTGATCTTTACCTCTTCTTTCTCTGGACTGTTTCGGGACTCGACCTCCACCTGAAGCGAGATGGTCTCCCCAATGCTCTTTCTTTTGGACAGCCGGTCCTCATCTAGAAAAAAAAAAGGGAGAGACAGTGTAGCAACTTATTGGCTGGCATGATTTGAATCAAGTTCTTGCCATTGATCAGAGCTGCCAACATTTTTAATGTGGTTGTTAAAACTGAGATCTAAGCTCCATAATGACTTCAAGGGGGTCTGGCATGTTCTGTGGTCTTCAGCTTCACAGACTCTAGTTCACTGCCAGACTCTAGATTTTGATCTCCTGGACCAAAAACAACAACTTGTGTCTTTCCAGCTCAAGCTGAATGAAACTCTAACCCATATACTGTCTGACAAAGACAAATGAGGGACTGAAATCATGTGATGAAACAAACTTAAAGCTTTGTTCACATTTGGTAAGATGATGTATGACAGTTTGAGATATTGCAATACTCCATAATCTGATTTGTAGGCGTAATGTTTTCTGTGTAAAGGTGGCCCGAGAATAGAGCCTTGAGGAACCCCAGATGTGATCCTGCAGCCTGGACTTCTATAAGAAAACCTGATGTAACGTGGAGCAAACTATAAATTTGATGAGTACTGGAATATTAACTTGCACCATTTTTTCTGTCATTTCATTCTGAAAATAACTTTTGTTTTAGAAATTCAGTCTATGAGGTTGTTCAAATGTAGGTCTAATATCCCAACTAGATCTGGTTTACATCATGCTCTGGTTTTCAAACTAAACAGTGAATGAAGTATTTGGATTTTTTTTTTTTTTTAAGGCTTCCTACCAGTGTACTGCGGGACGTAGGGCGTTGCCAGTCGGTCCGTGTTGTAACCACTTCCTCCCAGGACCTCTGCGATCTTCGACTGGAGAAACAAAACACCACTTTCCACCTTCTCGAGCGAAGGCGGCAGCCTATAAACAAGAAAGTGCAACACAAAATCTGTACATAGGAGAGAGCACTAATTCACTGCGTGTTTTGTAAATAAAGTAAAGACGATATTTGCGACAAAAAGATGTTAAAAAGGTTTTTTTTCTTACTTGGGATGCTCAAGAAAGACACCCTCAGGCAAAAGGTAAGGACCTTCTTTCTGTCTCGCCTCAATTACCTGGAAAAGAGCAAGAAAAGAAAAACACTGTTCACGACGCGTTTGTCTGAAGACACAAAGGTTCACATAAAGAAACCCAGACACGAACTTCATGTATGTGTTGGCAGAAGGCTGGGACGGTGGTGAGCTGGCAGATGAGGTTGAGGTAGGCGGCGGAGAGGGCATGCACAGCACAGCGGTTATAAATAGTCAGACCTTCATCCGTGGACAGGGCCAAGTCCTGCAGACGACACAAACAAAATAAGCAAAACTCCCCGATCGTTTATTCGAAGCGGATTTGACGAAGTGTTGTGTTCATCCGTACCTGCAAGGCGAGTGCCAGTCGGATGAGGTCCACCACCACCTCTTCGTTCGCCAACTCCACGCTGAGAAGACCCAACAGAGCATAGAGGGTCTCATAGTGCTGCTGGTCGCTGTTCAGTTCCTTACAGCCAAGGTAGATGTGTCGGCACAGGTGCTGGCCATGCTGCGAGTGGAGGTCAGTGTTTTAGATCCATTCGTTCCAAGGAAAGTGAAGATTTAATAAAGAATTTCAACACGTTTCCAATGTTTTTCGCTTATTTTCAGCGCGGTGGGAAAAACACAGAAAAATGACTAGAAGCGTGATGAAGGAGTACCTTTTTCATGAATAAATTGTCCTGTCTGGAGCACTTGTCCACTTTGAGTTTCAGCACAGAGATGTCAGAGATGATGCTACACAGGAAGACAGCAAAACAAAACAGGTGCAACCTGTAAACTCAGCCGCAGACCCGATCTTGCTGCTGCAAAAGAGATTTACTCACCGGATTTTTGAGAATTTGGGCCTGTTGTCGTGCCTGTCGATGAGGCTGAGGAGAATCTGGAGGACGAGTAGCCGGACCTCCGAGTGATTGATTAGAGAGAAGGACAGCAGAGGGTCCAGGAAAGTGTCCGGCAGTGCTGTGAGCATGTTGGTGGTCTGGAAACCCGTTGTCACCTTAAGAGGTTCATTTTGAAAGGAAAGTATCTCTTTATGAAGGAAATTTGACTACAGTACAGATATTTTTTTTGTAAATGCTACAAAAAGAACCACACATTAAAATCTTATAATCATTAAAAGAAAAAGCAGACATTTACCTGCACCAAGGACTTGAGCAACATAATCTGAATCATTCGTGTTCCCTGAGGCCTGGAAATGGAAACAACACATTTAAACTCGAGTCTAAATACATTTGTATTCAAACAACATTTTCAACATAATTCTTGGTCATGGGAAAAGAGGTACTGTGTGCAGAGTTGTGAAAAAAAACCTACACAGGTTCGTTAGGGGGAAGAGTCAGATTTACTCCGGGAACCGGGATCTTTCCCATGATGAACAGCATGACCTCCGACCT